CATTCTAATTAGCTAGATATTGCATGTATTATAGCTATAGTGATACCGTCACCACTCTTATCTGATTAGTTTATTGAATGTACACATTCTAATTAGCTAGATATTGTATGTATTATAGCTATAGTGATACCGTCACCACTATTATCTGATTAGATTATATTAAGAATGTACATATTCTAATTAGCTAGATATTGTATGTATTATAGCTATAGTGATACCGTCATCACTATTTATTGATTAGTTTATAATATGAATGTACACATTCTAATTAGCTAGATATTGCATGTATTATAGCTATAGTGATACTGTCACCACTATTATCTGATTAGTTTATAATATGAATATACACATTCTAATTAGCTAGATATTGCATGTATTATAGCTATAGTGATACTGTCACCACTATTATCTGATTAGATTATAATATAAATATCCACATTCTAATTAGCTAGATATTGCATGTATTATAGCTATAGTGATACCGTCACCACTCTTATCTGATTAGTTTATAATATGAATGTACACATTCTAATTAGCTAGATATTGCATGTTTAATAGCTATAGTGATATTGTCACCACTCTTATCTGATTAGATTATAATATGAATGTACACATTCTAATTAGCTAGATATTGTATGTTTGATAGCTATAGTGATACCGTCACCATTCTTATCTGATTAGATTATAATATGAATGTACACATTCTAATTAGCTAGATATTGTATGTTTGATAGCTATAGTGATACCGTCACCACTCTTATCTGATTTGTTTTTAATATGAATGTACACATTCTAATTAGCTAGATATTGTATGTTTGATAGCTATAGTGATACCGTCTCCACTCTTATCTGATTAGATTATAATATGAATGTACACATTCTAATTAGCTAGATATTGTATGTTTGATAGCTATAGTGATACTGTCACCACTCTTATCTGATTAGATTATAATATGAATGTACACATTCTAATTAGCTAGATATTGTATGTTTGATAGCTATAGTGATACCGTCACCACTCTTATCTGATTTCTTTATAATATGAATGTGCACATTCTAATTAGCTAGATATTGCATGTATTATAGCTATAGTGATACAGTCACCACTATTATCTGATTAGATTATAATATGAATGTATACATTCTAATTAGCTAGATATTGTATTTTTGATAGCTATAGTGATACCATCACCACTCTTATCTGATTACATTATAATATGAATGTACACATTCTAATTAGCTAGATATTGTATGTTTGATAGCTATAGTGATACCGTCACCATTCTTATCTGATTAGATTATAATATGAATGTACACATTCTAATTAGCTAGATATTGTATGTTTGATAGCTATTGTGATACCGTCACCACTATTATCTGATTAGATTATAATATGAATGTACACATTCTAATTAGCTAGATATTGTATGTTTGATAGCTATAGTGATACAGTCACCACTATTATCTGATTAGTTTATAATATGAATATACACATTCTAATTAGCTAGATATTGCATGTATTATACATGTAGCTATAGTGATACCGTCACCACTATTATCTGATTAGATTATAATATGAATGTACACATTCTAATTAGCTAGATATTGTATGTATTATAGCTATAGTGATACCGTCACCACTATTATCTGATTAGATTATAATATGAATATACACATTCTGGGGGGGGGGGGGGTGACCCCTTAGGGTCATTCTCTAATCAAATGATGTCAGATGTTAACTTCGTATTCTAATGTTAATTCTTGCAGGGGCTGGGAACAGTTAGAGGTATCTTGCAATCCATATGTCCGAGAAAAGAATAATTTATGGAACATTGAAGACCATTTCAATGAAAAATGTGAGGATATTTTATACAACATCGTCATAGACATAAATTGCAGCTATGCATATTACCAACTATTTATAAGATTTGCATATGCATTTGGTAATATGTCATAAAGATCTTATGGGAAGTGAACTCTCAACCTTTTCAAGTTTCCTTTTTTCATCACTAATTCATAAAATTCATAAAGTCTTTTTTATAGTGTGCACTTTTCTTCAGAAGATTGGGACAAACATAGCTAATTTTTTTGATTAAAAACTGAAAATTGAGTTAAATTTTGTCTGTTCATTAGGGTTAATTTCTATAACATTGAAGAATATAAGAAATAAATTGCAGAAAAATTTGGGTGAGATAGTCTGGTGGTGAAAAGATCTTCTTTCACACTTTGCATCTTGTCTGTTGTCAACATTTTTTCTTCAGTCATTCATTTAGATTTGATACTTTTCAGGAGAGCGCTAGTACTTTTAGTTATTCTTTCTCAGGTTTGTTCATTTTGTGTTCATAACCTCAATTCTCTAATTTGAGTGAATATTTTTGGTAAAAATCCTACTTACTAATTTGTTATAGATAGACGATAGCATGATCACTTATTAACTTGGTTGGACCTATGTGGGATTTAGACATTTTGTTTTAATAACTTCCATTCTCTAAGTTTAGAGACTATTTTGGTCATTATCGATTTAAGATTTGGTCTTGAAGATAGCTTATCTGAATGCTTTAATATTGTATATGTAAGTGCTTGTGGCAAACCTCTATCTGATTTGTTAAATTTGTGATGGTTTTCTAATGTTAGTGAATATTTTTCAAAGATTACCAGTCAAATGTTTTTGAGGTTTTTTGGAGGAAACTCTGTCAGATTGATTTGAATCATTTCAACATCAGATTAATTCTTTTAGTATTGATTAATTTTATATACTTTTTTCATAATGCATGTCAACTGGGAAGGCCAGAAAGCCATTTTAAACATATAATGTTGGTGTTAGATTCTCCATATTCTACTAGAGTAGTACAACATCAAATTATGTAATTTGTATGAGTTTCAAATTTTTTAAAATTTTTCAGTGTCAATCAATTTCCAAATATATCTAGGTCATTTTTATTCAAACATGACACACACCCTATGGTTTGTTGTACACTTGGGTTTCTATGATCAAGATAAAAATAAAACATCAAAGGGTCCTGGTTTGATTGAAATGGTTAGCTGGATGCCATTTTGTTTTTAAATATTGACTGATAAACCTTTTTTAATCGACTTCTTTTCTTATTACTGGTATTTACACTATCAGAGTATATTTTGAAGTGAGAACTTAATGCACTATTTAGGTGAAACCCATGTTTTCTGGCCTGCTTAGTCAAGATTTATGTATGTTAGATCAGAGATTTGGCTACTGATAATACAATTTCATGAACATATTTATCTCAGTGTCTACTGCTGTAAGTGTCTCATTCATAGTGTTCATGTTTTCCAGTACCAAATAGTAGTTTTGAAGTATTTGCCCCATCATTCTTAGAGAGCTTACGAGAGTCACATGCTGTAATGGTTCAAAGTAACAGTGGACTGAAGCCTAAGGAAGGTGAAGTGACTTCAAGACCATGGCAGTGGCCAATCAATTATAGGGTAAGCATTAATAACTTTGGTAGTTAATAGGATTAGTGTAACTAGCTTTGGCAATAGCTATTCAATAATAGGTTAAGTGAGTCTTATGTTTGCATTGGCCAATTAACTACAGTGTTAGCGAGTCTTATGTTTGCATTTGGCC